GTGACAGAAATCGTCTTTGAGAAAAACGTAACATGTCTATGTCCCATCCACTAACATGGAGGAGACAGAATTTATGACCTATACTCTAGTTGGCAGTATAGGTGGTTATCAAGATACTTTGGCTTTGCTTTTGAGGAGCTGTCCTGTAGCCCATTCCTATAGTCTTTGGGTCAGATGCTTCTTTTGTGACTGTGATGTGACCTCTGCATAGAATTTCATGGGTATTTATTTGGCAGTTGTTGAAACAACCAACCCAACACACAATTCTGACCTAACACGCACGCACACCTTCATTTTCCAGTTTTAACTTGCAGCTCTCCATCTCTCTCAGGCCGGTCATACTCCAAGACCCTGCAGCAGGCCCCGCTCTCGGTGCTTCCCCGCCGCCACTGCCAGCAGCATTTCCACAGCGCCTTCACCAGCCGCATGCTCTGTGCTGGCAGCATCCAGGCGGAGAGGCGCGTGGACAGTTGCCGTGGCGACAGCGGAGGTCCACTGGTGTGCCAGCGTCCAGGAGGGGGCTGGGTAGTTTACGGGGTCACGTCCTGGGGTCACGCCTGCCGGACACAACAGTCCCCAGGTGTCTACACCAAAGTATCTTCATTCAGCTCCTGGATACGCAAGGTGATTCGACGTGATGAGAAAAAGCAGTAAACAGGTCACTGTTGACCCCTTGATCAGAGAGAGGGACTATTGATCAGGTGACAGCGGACAGGACAATATCTTTTATGATGTTATTACCTGATAATCTAATCATGTGAGTCATAACCTGACTTTTAAATGCAGAGCACAATGCTGGACTTTCTGCCCTTTTTTATATGGTTTTCAAAAGAGGAAGATCTCCGTCCCCCCGTCTACATCATTAGCACTTATTTTAGTGATTAGAATATTCTCATGAGCTGCAGGTATTTGATGATTTTAAACCTCATTTCAAGAATTTGCCATAACTTAATATCTTTTTTCGTTGTTTCTTGTGACATTGCATACCACACTGTCATGGATTTTTTTTTTTTCTCGGAATCATTGCTTGCTTTTACAATTTTTATTGATATAAAATGTGTTAGTACAAATGTTGAAAAGGGACCACTTACAAATACAAACAAGCATGGATACAAAGTAAGCATTGGCATGGTATGAATTTGCGGACTTGCACGAAGAACTCTAATTAGGTACTTAACGCATGATGTTTAGTGCTTTTGTCTGAAGCACAATTGTCATATTGATATTTGCCAAAGTGAATTATGACTTTAAACGTCAAGTCACTCTGGTTATGTAAAGTTTCTCCATCGTGCTTTTGGTTTTACTTTGTGTAAACGGCAGACTGCGGGTCTTGGTAAATACTCAGGCATTTATAATTTATCTTCAGTCAGTATTTATCCTTGTGTCTCCAACAGTATTTCTAAGTGTTGATTTGTCATATTGACACTGTCATCTCATGTTCTTTAGTCTTGGTAGGATGGTAAAGTGTTGTCATGGTTTTTGACTGCACTGTAGGAAGACAATCTGGTACACTTGAAAACAAACACTACACTGCCTTCTCTTTTGGTGTTTACTGACTGTGTTCTGTTTTAATACTGTAACATTTCTTCATAAAATAAGATTTTGTAGAAAAACAGTTTGGTGTGTATTTGATCGAACGTTTACAATTCTTGAGTCACAATCTCTTGCTGTAAACGGTTTCTGTATATTATTTTAAAGTGGTTACACGTTTAGCTTATTCACACAGATGTTTGAAGTCGATGGCAGTTGGAGCAACAGACTTCTTTCTGCCTGACTGCAAACTGTCAAAATGAGCACCACTGTGCCAGACAATGTGTATGCACACACCCTCGCACACTGTCTCCCTGGTATGTCACACAGCCACAACAGGAATGGCATCCATTATAAGATTTTAGAACTCGGACCAACTATTACCATGAGAAGCTGTATGAAATCTTAAGAACATACATCACATTAAAGAACATTCTCCTGGCATTTGATATTTTTTATGCGTTCAAAAAAAATTGTAGAAATCTCCTCATAGGACAAATACTCTGCTATTAGCATGTTTATTGTAATGCAAAATGTTTGTGTATCTTATAATGATGCATGCATCATCAACCATATGCCAAACTTTTGTTTTAAAGGATGGTGCAAGTTTAATTCGTCTGCAGTTGGTCACATTGCATATGAATAAAATGTCACTTCAGGGGAGTCTTACTAATTTCATTGTCTTTGGTGAACAGATGCAAATAAATGTGTAAGTTTTGGGAACTTATTGTTCGATATTCAATGTTGTCTTAACGCTGTTAACGTTTACAATTGCTGAATTTTCATGCCTGTAAATACTTTTTTTTTTTTTAATCAAAATTGAATTATTTGTCTCAAACGGACTCAATACTTCCAAATTATTGTAAAAGGTATTTTGCAGAAGAATTAACGTGGAGGCTGACTGTTTTTCAAACTAATGAGACCAGAAGGTACCACATGCTGCATTCTGGTGTTAACATATGCAACAAGATCATCATTTATCTGCTTTTACTTTGGCTAAATTCATTGCCTGGATTCCAAGAGCTTACAGCTCCAACATCCTTGTTGTATGAGAGCACCCCCTAGTGGTTATCTCACAGACATTGAAAATCACTACAACT